CATCGTAGAGCTGGCTATTAGGGGCAGATAATTTAGCTTACTGAAAAGTAGAAAATAAATCAACTAAATAGCGGCGTATGATACGTCACGGGTCAGCTCGTTTTAACAATTTAACACAGGTGCACAACAGAAGTAAATGTCCCTATAACCTGCCATAATATTACTTTTCTCTGTCAATAGTTGTCAAACTCTCCTTTGCCAGATTTTGTAGCGTGATCACAGCTTTTATGATAAATCATAAGCTTATTGAATTAAAATCAAAGGGCCTGATGGTAAAATCAAAGGGCCTGATGGTAAAATCAAAGGGCCTGTTGGTAAATCAAAGGGCCTGATGATAAAATCAAAGGGCCTGATGATAAAATCAAAGGGCATGATGGTAAAATCAAAGAGCCTGATGGTAAATATTTTTTTTTATGGACCAGAAAACATTCATTGCTTTAAGCCTGTACAGATATACCTTGCTATTATAATCTCTGTTTCAACAATGTGCAAAACCTCAATCTTATTAGATTATAAACGCGAAACAAAACAAAAATGCAACAAAATAAATACACAAATGCATTTAACAGTATTAAAATAAAATAGTTTTTTTAATCTTCCAACAAAAGATAAAAATTGCTTTTTAACATAACAGTATATAATGTGGACGACAAATTTCTAGCAACAGTTTTTTATTGAATCAAATGTTTTAATCAAGAAATTCGATACCTTTAATTACATTCAACTACAAGCTTGCTTAATTAAACCTAATTATCCACAAATAACATGATACCATAAGTTTAAAAATTATTTTAAAAGGTTAAAAATATGAAACGAAAACTAAAGGGTTAAATTAAATTTCTCGTATTTTTCTCAACTATAAAGAAGGGCCATTCACTCCTTTATAATCACATGTGTGATGGTTGTACCATGAAGAACAGGTGTAAATTGTAAGGGTTGGCAAGATTGTACTGGTATAGTATATGGAGCTGTCAGCCAAATGTAAACAGTCAGATTCAACAAGAAGAGTATATCAACAGTAACATCAACACAAATCTTTGTAACAAAACTAGAGAAACGTTATCCGCACTTTGTACTGCTTTTCAAACAGCACAAAATGAGAAAATATCTTCACTTTGTACTTCTTAAATAGCACAGAATTAGCAAGTGTATTTACTATGTGCAGTTGAAAGAAACAAGTAAAATTATATCTCAATTTTATACTTTTTAACAAAACAGAATGGTGTGATTATATTGTAATTTTAAAAAAGCATTTAAAAAATGTCAATAATTTTTTGAACAAATAAATTTTCAAAGAACTTTTGCACTAGCGGTTTGTTAAATGTTATAAGGCTATATCAATTTCAAAGCACTTAAACCGTAAAACAAAAATCTGCATCTAAAAAAAATCTTTTTGACCTTGGCTTAGATGTTGTCTTTACCTAAACCAGGGGTCTCCAAACCGCGAGATCCTCTTATCCGGCCCGCGGAGATCTTTTTGTCCACGGAGAAAAACGTTTGTTGGTGATGGCTGAGGAACTTTGCACAGAAAAATCAAAGACATGCCTGGAAGAAACTGGCCCTCGAACTGAAATTTGATAGTTAATGCGGCCCTCGACTGAAATTTGATAGTTAATCCGGCCCTCGACTGAAAAGTTTGGAGACCCTTGACCTAAACCATCAGCTGCCTAAAGTAGCTGGGTGCATGTCCTAAAATTTCTTGTTTTAACGAACCACAGCCTATCAGATGTGTAGCTCTATCACAAAACCTACTTACTTAATGGTGTAAAATACAAATGAAGATGTACCAACAAACTGAACAATATAAATTCTAAACGATACAATTTTTTTTCAATAATACAACTCAAATGTTACACAGAATGTAAAAAAAAATAAAAATAACAAATGTAAAAAAAAAAGGAATTTCACAAATTTGTAGAGCTAGATTCTATTTTCTATTTGATTGTTTATATTAATAAAAACACAAATTCTTCGAAATATTCTTGGTTGGGTAATCTATTGTTTTAGGTACGTAAAATCGGCCAAGACTAGTAATGTGAAAAAAGGGTGACTCCTTAAATTTTTAGTAATTATTTCACATTTTTATGAGGATTTATGTTATAAAATTTATAAAAATGTTTCAAAGTTTCATTTATGCACCTGTTTTCAAACAATTGAATTAAAACTTTTCAGTAATAAATGAAGACTAGCGATGTTTTCATCAGATGCAACCAAGCTCATTTACTTTAGCAGCCATCTTGTTTAAGTTTTTTTTTGGTAAACATATAGTGGGAGATTCAGGAAAAGCCACTCTATTTTACAGATGGCTGATGTTTATATAGCAAATCTTGCTCACAAACACTGCTGTTTAAAGTTAAGTTCTGGCCTATATTGTATATTGATATATTAAGCCATTGATTTTAGTTATTATCCAGTTATCTATAATATTTGACACAAATATATCACAATATATTTCTATTAAAGCCTTAACAATGAGGCAACTTTTTTAACATTATTAGCCTCGGCCGGTTTTACGCACATAAAACGATAGATTACCCTTGGTTGTTGTATGTAATTGTAGATGAATGGGCTAATATTTTTTGGCAGGAAACCAAAAAAAAAAACACAAGAACATTTTGATTTAAGTAAATATACAAACTAAAATGATTGAATTCATCTGGTCACATATATTTTCAAATACTTCAGCTTTTAACAACAAATTATTTCACAACAAAGTACTCACAACAGTACACTCCTATGAGAATATGAGACTGCATTCATCCACTAAGTTGAAAGTTACCCAACCAGCTAGAAGAGAAGGAAGTGGTACTATAGAAAAAAGGCTAGGCTAATTACCAGAAAAACTAGACATCTACCAAAGTGCACAGGTAAAAAATACTGTGATAAAAATCTATGACATCAACATGTTATAAAGGAACAAGAAATATTTACAAAACATCATTTAAATGCTTGCTAAAAAAATGAAGACATAACTACCTATGAAAATATCAATAAACAGCATTTCTTTAAAATTTTAAAAACATTAACTATACATTTTAAAAATGGATTTTACTTATCATTTTTGGCTTTGTTTGTTTTGCTTTTGAGTATGCCAAAAATTGGTTATCACACATTTGATAGTAAACACATATAATAGTACACACATCACACATATAATAGTCCACACATCTTGTTTTTTGTCTTCACACCAAAGCTTAACAAAACACCAAACAAACATTGCTATCAAGAGATACCCCAAAAGGTTTTTAAAAAAAACATTTGGTGCTTAAAATATCGTGGTGTGAATACACCACCACACTAACATACCATATGATCAAATGAGAAGACTGAAGAGATAATGCTTGACTCTGTCATGGGTGGGGTGGGGGGTGTGGGGGTAACATCAACAACAAATTCATTAGTCTACTTCCAATCCAGCATTTTGTTTTATTTTTGTTGCCGAGGTAGAGCGTGTGTTGGATTCATGTTTGAAAACCAGGGACAATGAGGGATGGCAGCAGTTAATGCTGGGTGGTTGTGTAGTTGTCATTCCATCTAGAATGTCCTCTAGAGACAATGACGGATGGCAGCAGTAATAGCTGTGTGATTTTTAGTCCATCATAGAATGTCCCAGGGACAATGAGCGATGGCCATTAGCAATAGCTGTGTGGTTATCAGTCCATCATAGAATGTCCCCATGGCAGCTTCATGGAATGTCCCTTGATGGTTAAGTAGTTGAACGACCTGACCTTTGTTGGGTGCCCACACTCAATAAAGGGTGTGGCTGATCAGCACATAAGACATCCTCCACGTTATATTTGGATTAACCAATTAAATCACCAAAACTATTTTAATCACCCACTGTTTATTTTAACCGCCCTTTGAGCCAACCCTACAGCATTTTAACAGCCAGCTGTATATTAAGACCACCCACACTATGTATATATATATTTATTCAAACTGCCTTCACTGTATACTAAAACTGCCCAGAAGTATATTTTAATGATCCCACTGTATATTTAAACTCCTAGCCTACATAGTATGTTGTATATTCAAATCACACATACATGAGTTACAACCACAAACCAGTTTAACATGCAAATTGTTTGACTAAACACCCCAACCGTATTGAGTATATTAAACTGCCTTACTTTATATTTGAAGCGCTCAACTGTATATTTGACCGCCTGATATATATTATAATCCGCCCAACTGTATATCTGACCCCCCCCCCCCCTTGAAACTGTATATATTTGCATCACACAACTGTACATTTATACCACTAAACTGCATTTTTTAACATCCCAGCTGTATCTTTAAATCACTAATAACACTATATTCAAACCACCTACGCTGTATAATTAAAGCCTCCAGTGCACATCACAGGTCAGAAAATTTAATTTCCCTGTAGTCATCCATTAGAAGAATCTCCTTGATACACCACTCCCTTCCTGCCCAGTGGTCAGTCTGCCAACAGGCCAATGTTTCAAAATTGAAATCACACCCATCAATCTATCCATAGAAGCACAATTCATTCAGAAACCTTGAAAATCCCCCGACTATCCAGTCATGAACAGATATCATCCAAACTCCTTGGGTTGCAAAGTTGCGAGGCAGTTAAGGTAAGACCATGCTTATGGTCATTTGTTGGGCATAGCCGGGAGTACCTCGTCCAGATTGCTAGAGAGGTCATCATGTCTGAAGACATACCACAAGGTTGCGAGGCTGCTAGGGTAATAACAAAACCCATGCTTGTAGTCATAGTTGTGTATGTCCTGGAGCAACTCGTCCACATAAAGAGGTTATGTCTGAAGATACACCAGCACCACGAGGTTGCCAGGCAGCTAGGGTAAGAAGAAGGAAAGCCCAGGCTTGTAGTCATAGTTGTGTATGTCCTGGAGCAACTCGTCCACATAAAGAGGTCATGTCTGAAGATACACCAGCACCACGAGGTTGCCAGGCAGCTAGGGTAAGAAGAAGGAAAGCCCAGGCTTGTAGTCATAGTTAGGTATGTCCTGGAGCAACACGCCCAGATAAAGAAGTCATGTCTGAAGATACACCAGCACCACGAGGTTGCCAGGCAGCTAGGGTAAGAAGAAGGAAAGCCCAGGCTTGTAGTCATTGTTAGGCATGGCCTGGAGCACCTCGTCCAGCAGCTGGAGGGGTCTGTGGAGCTGGATCTCAATCCAGCAGGGGGTCTCCTTGATGCTCTTGCGGGGGTAGTCCGGTCCCCAGCCCTTGACGAAGCTCAGTCTCAGCAGGCAGAGCCGGCGGAGGTCGTCAACCCCAATCCCTGCGGCCGCAGACAGGCTGGCTGTGTTAGAGAAAATATAATCACGTTAAACAACTTGTATATTTGATAAGAATACAGCTTGTATGTGTTAAAGAAAATATAATCACCTTAAATAAATTGTATATTTGATAACTTATTAACATACAGGTTGCATGTGTTAGAGAAAATACAATCATGTTAAACAAATTGTATATTTAAATAAGAATACAGCTTGTATGTGTTAGAGAAAATATAATCACGTTGAACAAATTGTATATTTGATAACATACAGGTTGCATGTGTTAGAGAAAATACAATCATGTTAAAAAAAATTGTATATTGGATAACATACAGGTTGCATGTGTTAGAGAAAATATAATCACGTTAAACAAATTGTAGATAACATACAGGTTGGCTGTGTTAGAGAAAATATAATCACGTTAAACAAATTGTAGATAACATACAGCTTGTATGTGTTAGAGAAAATATAATCACGTTAAACAACTTGTAGATAACATACAGGTTGGCTGTGTTAGAGAAAATATAATCACGTTAATAAATTATATATATGATAACATACAGGTTGCATGTGTTAGAGAAAATATAATCATGTTAAAATAAATTGTATATTTGATAACATACAGGTTGCATGTGTTAGAGAAAATATAATCATGTTAAACAAATTGTATATTTGATAAGAATACAGCTTGTATGTGTTAAAGAAAATATAATCACCTTAAATAAATTGTATATTTGATAACTTATTAACATACAGGTTGCATGTGTTAGAGAAAATATAATCATGTTAAAACAAATTGTGTACTCAACTTAAAAAGATCATTCTTATTATTATGCTAATTGAATCTGCTAATTACTTTTTCTCTAATTAGCAGGTGGTTTGTGTTAATGGTCAATTAAGGGCTAACAATCGACACTGTGCAAGAAACCCTAGAACACACTGGTTGCCTTATGTAAAAAATTTGACAGAAGTAATAGTTCCTACATTAATTGTAATAGTTCCTACATTAATTGTAATAGTTCCTACATTAATTGTAATAGTTCCTACATTAATTGTAATAGTTCCTACATTAATTGTAATAGTTCCTACATTAATTGTAATAGTTCCTACATTAATTGTAATAGTTCCTACATTAACTGCATAGATTCAACTTAAATCACAGTAAGTTAGTAATTCCAAATAACTTGGAAAAGGGAAGGGAAGTAAGCCTGTGGACTGCAATCTGAGATTAAAAGAAAAGTTGAAATTGTCCTTGGATTCCTTTAAAGACAGTAAAAAATTGATATTGTGCTTGGTTTCCTTATATGACAGTAAAAAAATTGATATTGTGCTTTGTTGTCTGTGTATGCCAGTAAAAAAATTGATATTGTGCTTGGTTTGCTTATATGACAGTAAAAAATTGATATTGTGCTTGGTTTCCTTATATGACAGTAAAAAAATTGATATTGTGCTTTGTTGTCTGTGTATGCCAGTAAAAAAATTGATATTGTGCTTGGTTTCCTTATATGACAGTTAAAAATTGATATTGTGCCTCGTGTCAATAAATTGAATTAAAAAAATTGATATTCTACTTTGTTGCCCGTGTATGGCAGTAGAAATAAAAATTGATGGTGACAGCCTCACCTCCAACAGCCGAAGAGCCAGCAATACTTCCAGCGACCGCAGCTGCCTGCGCCGCTGCTGCTGCCTGTGCTGTTGCTGCTTGTTCCTGCATCTGCCTGTGGCACTGTCTTATATCAAACACCTGTAGAGTGGATGAGGCAAATCTAAAGCACTAGACTGGGTTAACTTGTCACTTTAGAGTAAAAAAATTTTTTATCAAGTTGCAAGGGCTAGTTAAATATCACGTAAGGAACAAATTTTATAGACCCTTCGTTCTGATTTGTAAAAGGGGTTAACTCTAAATCATGTAAGGTGCTAATTCTAGAGACCTTAGGGGCTAATTCTACGGACCCCTTATTCTGTATATGTACAAAAGGTTATATCGTGTAAGTGGCTAATTCTAGGGACACATAACTCTGGTTATGTAAAAAAGGATAATTCTATATTAGGAAGACTTAAGCAGAATAGTAAAATAATATTTTTTATAAAGAAAATAAGTTCTAGAAATATATTACACACACACATTTCATACCATTTATTTTTAGCTGTAGGTGACCTAGATAACATTATTTTTTAAAACAACTAAACTTGATTTGAAGTAATGGTGAAATGTCGCACCTTAATATAAGCTGTTGGATATATTTTGTGGACCGCATCGCCAGGTGCACGTCCAGCCTCCCTGTCCAGGTAAAAACTCTGCACAAAGACACTGTGGTCACTCACGCAGCGTATCCAGACGTCCCCTTCCCCTCGGTAGTCCAGCGACACTCCTTTACCTATGTGCAACCTGGAAGTCAGAAAAAGGTGAGAAAACCTCATTTATCACAGTTGTAGTGAACCAGAAAAGGGGATGTAATCCAATGAATGGGTGAATGTTGTTTGTATGCAGTAACCTGTCCTGATCGTTGGTGTACAGTCCTGTGCTGTATCAGTGTGAACTGGTCACTATGTCATTGTCCAGTTTGTACTTGTTTTTGTTTGTTTGTACTTTTGTACAGGTATAAAAAGGGGGTGTAATATGTGGTTAGAGGTCTCATGCAAGCATTTAGAGTGTACTTTAGTTCTGTAAAGTAGCCACAGTATTTGTGTTTCTTCTGAACTACTTATTTAGAAATGGGTTTCTTTTAGTATTACTGTGTAAAGACACTTTTGTTTTGTCCTGTGTTTTGGTAGCAAAACTGATAACCCATCAAGGCATGTCATTGTGTTCACAACAACAGTACATTCACTATCAATTTCACTTTAATTACCAGTACGAAAAAGGTGAAAAAAAAGGAATCTCTCTAGCAGTTAAAAAATACACCCCAGTCCATTTATTTTCAATTTTACATCAATTAACTAGTAAGAAAAGGTAAAAAACAAACATATGTTAAATTACAGAATTTTCGTTAAATTTCACATATATGTATTTATTTTCATAAACCCTCTAACACTGGAATGACGTGGGGGTCAGGTCAGCCAGTGTAACAGAGCTACCCGCGTTGGCTTCTTCTTCCTCTTAATCCCGTTTGTGCCCAAGACACATGGGGCAGATGAAGTAGAGTTCATTTGATTTATTGACTCAGCATATGAAGGGATAGTGTGATCAGCACTATGCCCAGCCACCTTTGTTTCCCTAAAATAAGCTATGTACCCATCAGAGCTGGGTGGACTAACTGATTTGAACCTGGATTCAAACTCGAGACCCTCGGGTTAGCAGTCTAGCTCTCGACCGTTAGGCCAAGCTTTCTCTATTTTCTCACCTTCTTTCTTCTTCTTATGTAAACGCATAACACATTATTTTATAAAGTGTTCTGATGTGTGCTCTTAATTTCTTTGTTACTTAAAAATCCTGTCATCTCCAATAAGTGCCATGCACTTTATTTTAATTAAAAAAATAAAGAAGAAAACCCACTGACCTGGCTCTTTCACTGGCCTCAGTCCTGTGGACGTTTGAGAGCTGCCCTAGACAGAAGCGGTCTATACTGGACGGGTCAGTGTACCCATCCACTGTCACAGTCTTCACACTGTAGGGGACTTTGAACGTCTCACCCACTTGCTGGTCAAGCTCAAAGTATGTCTGGGTGCACCAGTACTCAGGGGCTGTGGACAGTGGTCAGTGTTATAGCTGGTCAGTGTAAGAACTGGCATTAGCATAGGGTGGGGAACTGGGATACAGTACTCAGGGGCAGTGGACAGTGGTCAGTTATAGCTGGTCAGTGTAAGAACTGGCATTAGCATAGGGTGGGGAACTGGGATACAGTACTCAGGGGCAGTGGACAGTGGTCAGTTATAGCTGGTCAGTGTAAGAACTGGCATTAGCATAGGGTGGGGAACTGGGATACAGTACTCAGGGGCAGTGGACAGTGGTCAATTATAACTGGGATTAGCATAGGGTGGGGAACTGGGATACAGTACTCAGGGGCAGTGGACAGTGGTCAATTATAGCTGGGATTAGCATAGGGTGGGGAACTGGGATACAGTACTCAGGGGCTGTGGACAGTGGTCAATTATAACTGGGATTAGCATAGGGTGGGGAACTGGGATACAGTACTCAGGGGCTGTGGACAGTGGTCAATTATAGCTGGGATTAGCATAGGGTGGGGAACTGGGATACAGTACTCAGGGGCTGTGGACAGTGGTCAATTATAGCTGGGATTAGCATAGGGTGGGGAACTGGGATACAGTACTCAGGGGCTGTGGACAGTGGTCAATTATAACTGGGATTAGCATAGGGTGGGGAACTGGGATACAGTACTCAGGAGCTGTGGACAGTGGTCAGTGTTATAACTGGGATTAGCATAGGGTGGGGAACTGGGATACAGTACTCAGGAGCTGTGGACAGTGGTCAATTATAGCTGGGATTAGCATAGGGTGGGGAACTGGGATACAGTACTCAGGGGCTGTGGACAGTGGTCAATTATAGCTGGGATTAGCATAGGGTGGGGAACTGGGATACAGTACTCAGGGGCTGTGGACAGTGGTCAATTATAGCTGGTCAGTGTTATATCTGGGATTAGCATAGGGTGGGGAACTGGGATACAGTACTCAGGGGCTGTGGACAGTGGTCAATTATATCTGGGATTAGCATAGGGTGGGGAACTGGGATACAGTACTCAGGGGCTGTGGACAGTGGTCAATTATATCTGGGATTAGCATAGGGTGGGGAACTGGGATACAGTACTCAGGGGCTGTGGACAGTGGTCAATTATATCTGGGATTAGCATAGGGTGGGGAACTGGGATACAGTACTCAGGGGCTGTGGACAGTGGTCAATTATATCTGGGATTAGCATAGGGTGGGGAACTGGGATACAGTACTCAGGGGCTGTGGACAGTGGTCAATTATAACTGGGATTAGCATAGGGTGGGGAACTGGGATACAGTACTCAGGGGCTGTGGACAGTGGTCAATTATAACTGGGATTAGCATAGGGTGGGGAACTGGGATACAGTACTCAGGGGCTGTGGACAGTGGTCAGTGTTAGAGCTGGTTAGAACTGGGATTAGCATAGGGTGGGGAACTAGGATAACATACAGTTTTAATTTTAACTGTAGGTAGGCATCTATGTCCATACTATCATACTGTGAAATGTACGTTAGATAGGCCACTGTAACCCAAACGGCTTTAAGGGTTTTGATTGTAAGTTACCTAACTAAATACAAATTTGAAATGTTAAGAAATAGTGTTGCAGTTTATTGGAGTTGCCCAGGGTTAGATGCACTAGATTTAATGTATGCATAGGTTAGACGCCCCGCGCTAATCACGGGGTCAGGCAACCTTAGGGTGAGGATAAGGAAGAGAGATTTAATTAAACAAGTTGCGAGGATGTAGGCATGTTTTGTGTTGTAAGGTGTGGTAGGGCTGGCTACTAAGGCTGGTCGTTAATGACAACCAAGTTTCTATTCTGCTATAGCCAAGATTAAAATTGCTAGAGAATAACAAGTACCAACCATCCACCATATTAAAGTTGCTACGCTGAACTGATGTTGGTGTATTTTGAATCGAGTACTGGTTTAAGTGTCTAGTTCATCAACCAACTTTTAAACCACTCACTACAGCCAACATCAACAACATCAAACCATAATACCAACTATACTGATGACTTCCAAACAGTCAGTTTCAATAGTCTTGATACACTTTCTTAGGGTAATTTGGTCTATTGTTATATTAGGCAAATGCTACCCAACTGCTACCTAATGCTGATTGGATATTTAGATTTAAAGAAAAACTATGCATGATGAACATTCGTTGGGCCAGAGAAAGCTCACACCTAATGTCCCCTGCAGACCTAGACATTTAACAGGTAGGTTGAAGGTAAGAATATGGAAGATGCTATGCATGTAAATAGATTTGTCAGTGTGGACGATAAAACTATTAAGAAGGGTATATGCATTTGAAGTAAGTAAATTTCCCTTTCAAACCTGGCGGTCTACGGGGCAAGTGAAGTAGAGTTCACTTGTTTCTGTGACCTCGGCATATGAAGAGATAGTGTGGTCAGCACTATGCCCAGCCGCCTTTACCTACCCTAACGTGAGTTAGGTACCCATCAGAGCTGGGTAGACTCAGGGACGATCTACTAACTTAAACCCGGATTCGAACTCAAGACACACGGGTTAGCAGTCTAGCTCTGCTGGTTTGGAGAATATGCATATGAAACTGATTGGGGTTCAATACCTCCAAAAAGTTTTAGAACCACTGCTCTACACCACTGATTGTTAATTTACCTTTTGCAGGTGTACTTACGAGGTTGGTTTGTGAGGGGTGCCATAGAGGCCATATCTGCTTGCATCTGACCGTTGTTCCCTGGGAGACAAAAAAAAAATGATAAAATAAAAATTATTTACCTTAAAACTTAGATTAAAGGTACACAAAATATCAATAAATAGAACTACATTGGTGGAAAATTTAGATAAACCTTGGAGCTGACCTTACAGAGACATAAAGTAGACTAATGAATGACCAGAAATGTGATTATAAATGTATAGTCCTGCAAATAGGTTGCTTAATAACAAAATTATTGATTGGAAAAAAATTAATGCCTTCAAACTAACACTAGTCTATCAGCTAGAGTGGATATATTACACCTACAAACTACTAGTGAAAGGACAGAAAATGGGAAAACTGTAAAAAGACTCGGAAACCTTTATAATAAATGACACATTTTTTTATAAACGTAAACAGCATTTTAATAAAAGCCCTTAATTTTAAAACACACATTTGGGAATTTTGAAAATCGGAAAAAAAAATAATGGTTCTTTAATTGGTAGCTCTGTGACACCTCAGAAAAGTATTGTTACCACTGTATATGATAATCAGCTCTAGAATATAAATGAAAAGACCACTGAGTGCTACTTACAGTAAGACATAGCTTGTGAATACGGAGGCGTCGTGCTCTCTGCCCAAGGACCTGCTGAAGCTGACCAAAAATAAAAATTTTTAGTACAAACAGGCAAGTCAATTAGCAGCAGTCTGGCAGCTCTGTGTGGGCATGTTATATGGAATGACTAGCATGGATAAGCAGGTGCTAACTGCCTGTCAACGCACTCATGGCTGTCATCACAGTATGCCAGGTTGGTTGGCTCAGTGCATTCCTTCATCGTCATGGCCAGTACAACTGGGGTTGTGCATAAATGGTGCTATGTGTTGAATAATTTGACAACTGGGGTTGTGCATAAATGGTGCTATGTGTTGAAAATTTTGACAACTGGGGTTGTGCATAAATGGTGCTACGTGTTGAATATTTTGACAACTGGGGTTGTGCATAAATGGTGCTATGTGTTCAATATTTTGACAAATGGGGTTGTGCATAAATGGTGCTATGTGTTGAATATTTTGACAACTGGGGTTATGTATAAATAGTGCTATGTGTTGAACATTTTGACAAATGGGGTTGTGCATAAATGGTGCTATGTGTTGAATATTTTGACAACTGGGGTTGTGTATAAATGGTGCGATGTGTTGAAAATTTTGACAACTGGGGTTGTGCATAAATGGTGCTACGTCTTGAAAATTTTGACAACTGGGGTTGTGCATAAATGGTGCGATGTGTTGTAAATTTTGACAACTGGGGTTGTGCATAAATGGTGCAGTGTGTTGAATATTTTGACAACTGGGGTTGTACATAAATGGTGCTATGTGTTGAAAATTTTGACAACCTGGGTTGTGCATAAATGGTGCTATAGGTTGAAAATTTTGACAACTGGGGTTGTGTATAAATGGTTCTACGTGTTGAAAATTTTGACAACTGGAGTTGTGCATAAATGGTGCTATGTGTTGAAAATTTTGACAACTGGGGTTGTGCATAAATGGTGCTATGTGTTGAAAATTTTGACAACTGGGGTTGTGCATAAATGGTGCTACGTGTTGAATATTTTGACAACTGGGGTTGTACATAAATGGTGCTATGTGTTGAAAATTTTGACAACTGGGGTTGTGCATAAATGGTGCTATGTGTTGAAAATTTTGACAACTGGGGTTGTGCATAAATGGTGCTATGTGTTGAATATTTTGACAACTGGGGTTGTGTATAAATGGTGCTATGTGTTCAATATTTTGACAACTGTGGTTGTGTATAAATAGTGCTATGTGTTCAATATTTTGACGATGACTGGTTTGAGAGGGGGGGGGGGGGGGGGGGGGGGGTTATGGAAAGACTGATTTAGATGCTGAGAAATTTGAATGCAGGGAGAAGGGCAATGTTTCTTCCTGTTTAAAAAACATGCACAAGAATTTCTTGAATAAAACATGTATAAACCTGTTTATACTAGAAAGCTTTTAAAAATGCTATATTTTAATGAAGTACCCAATAAAAGTTGAGTGATGTTTTTTATTTGTGAATGTTCATACATGTTTTTATGCATGTTTTTTTTTCCAAAAAACAAGGAGAATCTACCATATTAATCCATTTCTTCAGTTCAGAGTTATTTTTAAATTACAGGCAACATAAATGATAAAATTAAAGTGCCTCTACTGATGAATGGGTCTATGATTATAATGTAAATACTGTGATGAGAAAAAAATTAGTTATAGTTAACTTTCAGCAATCACGTTAAATTGCTTTCTTTTTTAACACGTAAACATATTTTTTTTTTAAAAAAAAACGTTTCCAGGTTTGATATTTTTTTATTAGAAAATTTAGACCAAGATAAAATTAAATATCAAGCTGGAACATTTTCCTGTATAATGCTTTGTATTTTTAATACAAGTAGTTGAAATCATGCCCTCAATTGCCTAATCTAATAGTCTATCTGACTGCAGAGCCAGTTTTTCCATTTTATAATAGTTGAAAGACTCACCTTGCGGGTAGTGCCGTAGGTTAGCCTGGTTATGTACAGGTCGAGAATAGGAGTCTGCCGGCATGCTGGCATGGCCGTGACCTTGACTGTTACTTCGAACAACCTGAGGTGGATGAGTGGGGGGAGTCGGCACCCCCACCCCCATGGGACTAGGGTGTGAGTTCATGCCACTGGTACCTAAAACCAAGATTATTCATGACAATTTGTGCATATTAATTATTTATATTCAAAAGATGGTTCAAATATATTGTCAGCTTATGTAGTAACAATTATAAAATTCTGAAATGGCTTACAAAACACTTTTCATAAAACTATTTTTAATGTATTTTTTTTTTAAGAAAAAGGGTGATTTTATTTTTTCATTAGAACAATTATTATTCAAGTATTACAAATAAGAAAATTTAAGTTTCACAAAAGATACTATAGCCTAAGTGGTCAATGAAATAAAACTACCACCTCTAAGATAAAAGCTCTAGTGAACCCAAGACCTACTGTACTTTGCTAAGAGTACATATAAAACCGTAACCAAACATGTATAAAACTATTATGGATATACTGAATATTAGTAGTTAAAAGTATATGTGGTATATTACTGAGCAACCAAAGGTATTACTAAGTATACATAAAAACTACTATCTACACACCCACTACTGTCCTGAATATGGCGCCTACTATACAAAGCACATTAAGATACAAAACTGAAGAGCTAACTAGCAATGTTAATTCTACTGTACAGATGATTGATGTTAATAAAGCTTAATTAACAAAAATAAACATAAAGTTAGACTTTAATTAAAAATTGGTGTTAATAAACTAAGAAGTAAAAATAAAAATTGAACAGATTAATTTAAGAAAAGACTTTTATTTGTTAATAAATTTAGGTAAAGTATGGATTAAAGGGTTGGTTTTAAGTTAGTATTAGGGTTAGTTGCAAAATGAAAGTTAAAAAAAAAAAGAAAAATTGTTTTGTTTTTTACTTGAATGCTTACATAAAAAATATTTGTTCCAGTAATGTGCTTGATAAAAAAAAAGAATATTTTTTTTTCTAATTGAAACCTTAAGAAATAGCCTAGAATTAGGAGGAAATCTAAAAAAAAAAATCTATCTTGATATACTAAAATGAGCCCTGTGTTTACGATACATAATATATATTTGTCAGAGATCAGAAATTTTGCAATAGGTGTAGAACGTTTAAATACATACATATAGTAGGAAAAATTATTCTGTTTAAAATAAACATAGAAGCAAAAAATTTCTTTAAAGATGTTAATCAAATAAATGACAGTCGGATGTAAAAACATACACTTAATTATACAACACAAGAGTAAATGCTTAACATTTCTAAACATGGATTCCACAAACATCTACTACATCATATAGCTAAATTTTCTGTCAGCTATGGCATTAATGGTGAGTCTGTTTCTTATTTTTACTGGGTTCCAACAATACTATCAATTTTCAATAACATACACGTGACAGATCTGTGAAAGTATTAAGAATTTATTAAATGGTTAACTAAAAGCTAGAACTAAGCTTTTTAGGTTGGAGAAAAAGCAGCCAAATAAAATTTAATAAGTTAAAACCAAAAGTAGGTATAGGATCACAATGACTAATTGATGTTTTATTTACTGAACTATTTCAGGCTTAAATCATTCACATAAATCTTTGTTATTTAGGTTAAATTAGGGTATAATTTAAATAAAATATTTGGTTAATTTGACTTAATGGTTAAGAATAGGCTCCCTTTAAAAAATTGTGTACAGTAGGTAAAAGATGTGACATCATGGCCAATAGGATAGTGTACTTCAAGTTGTGGGAATGATACCCATGCAGTGATGCAGTAATAGCAAATATTTTTGTTTATCTTCCCTACAGTAGAAAATCCCTACGCACACTAAAGGTTGTAATTTATTGTTATTTTTCTTATGTTAGCTTTAAAAATTAATTATTGAGTCACTTGTTATTCCTTTTATATTCCAATAATATTATCATTTTTTTTTATAGTTTTCGTTTGACTTATTTGAGAACATGAAGATATTAATGTTTGCAGCCTTTTATATTATAAACTGATGAGGGCCAGAAATAATTTGTTTTGTTAATTTAGCCAAGATCTTTTTTTTTTTCAAATATATGTCACTAAAAAGAATTCAACACTTCTTAGAGTATTCCCATGAAACAACAAAACAAATCATGGCACAAATACTAGAGTCAATCAGCAAGCACAAAAATCTTACTTCAAATAATCAATACTGTATTAAGGTAACAATCATTCAACATAAAAAATATGTTTACACTTATATGTAATGGATTAAAGAAAAATTAAACGGCTGTAAATAAATTTTGCTTCATTTAAAATAAAAAAGCATGGCAACAGAAAATGAGAAATTATTTAATCCCTTTAAAAATACAAGTTAGTTTAAATTTTTTTTTTGTTTTTTAAATATCTGGCAGTAACTATTGTAAGCACAAAGTAAAGACCATTACAAAGCAATCTACCAAAAGCTTGTTTTCAATAACCAAATTACAATTAGTGGATGGCTGTTAAGTATGTGAGGTGTTTGTAAGTGTGGCCTAACTTTGAAGCAAGAAAGTGTTTTGACAAGGAAAAATTATTTATATGCGCTACATCCAACAAATAAATAATAACCAGTCTCCATCATAACAACCCATACAGTGATGCTGTATACATACAAAAAATACTAAAGTCAGCAACTAACAAATAATATAATAGATCCAATACAGTGATACTGTATACATACAAAAAAACATACATACAAAAAATACTAAAGTCAGCAACTAACAAATAATATAATAGATCCAATACAGTGATACTGTATACATACAAAAAAACATACATACAAAAAATACTAAAGTCAGCAACTAACAAATAATATAATAGATCCAATACAGTGATACTGTATACATAAAAAAAAACATACATACAAAAAATACTAAAGTCAGCAACTAACAAATATAATAGATCCAATACATTTTCAACCCATTATTTTATTTAGAAGGGCTGTAAATGAAACAAATCAATTAAAAAGAAAATTGGAAGCAATATTTACTTTGTAGAATAACGCCAAATAAAAATAAAAAAGAGCAATTAATTTAATACAATCTACAAGCTGGGAAAATTAATAAATAGGAGTTATTACAACAAATGGATACAAAAAATAAGTTAGGATTAGTCAGTGTTAAATTGAGGTGTGGAATAGCTTTGGGTTATTTACGTAGCACGCCCATTACAAAGCAGATGTATAAAAAAAATATTTTTAAAAATGTTTGTTAGGACTAGTACGTTTTAAAGAGGTGTGGTTATTTACCTAGCACGACCATTACAAAGCAGATGTATATCAAAAGAATATTTTTTTTAAATTTGTTAGGACTAGTAAGTAAGTAAGTTATAAAGAGGTGTGGTTATTTACATAGCACGCCCATTACAAAGCAGATGTATATCAAAAGAATATTAAAAAAAATTTTTTTTGTTAGGACTAGTAGGTTTAAAAGTAAGGTGTGGTTATTTACATAGCGAGCCCATCACCAAGCAAGGGTCTAAAGGTAACTCACTTTGGCGAGACAAGTCTAGCCTGGGCAGGGCCTGTTGGGCTGGAGACAGCGGCTGATTGGCGGGGGAGTTAAGCGGGTGGTGAGAGTGAGAGAGTGATCCGCCACTCTCCGAGCGGCCAAGCGGGGCCCCCATAGGGCTCCCGCCTACAACGCCGACGGAGGGAATCTGTTGCTGAGGGGAGGTCACGACTGAAATGCTGGAGGTCGAGGAGGAGGGTGAAGGGAGGGGGTGGGAGAGGGCTGTGGAGGTGGCAGGCCTGGAGCCTGGATACAAAAAACAAAGTTACAAATTTTATGGTTTTAAACACAGTTACAGAAACATTTTCATGGTTCTAAGCATTCATACTCAACTTACTGCTTCTTGATATGACAATCTTTTAATCTTAATTGATAACATAAACCCCTACTTTGGTACTGAATTATAAATACTTGAAAATTAGAATGTAGTTGTGAAGTATCTGATAAAAAACAGATAGGAGTATGAAACTGAATTCAAATAAATGTATTTTCTAAAAATGACAACTTGAAGACAACAAAAAAAAAAAAAAAAAAAACCACAAGAGACCCACAAAACATCCCATGCTAGTGGTACTTGGACACCGAACAAGTGAAGCTTGAAACATCAGTACAAGTTCAACAGAATCAACAAACAGTCATGCACTAACACAGCCTTCTACGCTGGTTGACAACAAACGTCAACATAACGTATATAATCAATTAACGAACGTCGCAGATAAAAAAAATAAACTTAAAAGCTTACCTGGCATGTGGAGAAACGAGTCAGCTGGTGGGTGCTGGACTGTCTGTGTGTCCCCTCCCAGTTGCGCGTGCTCTGAAATTGACATGGAGGCACTGCTACTATACTCATCCTTGACAAGCCTTGCTGGAGGGCCTGGGCAGGGGATATGTGGCACTACACAATTAGTTTAGAGTCAGATCTTTTATTCAGAAAAGCATAATACATGGACATTCACGTTTAAGAATGACTGACTATTTCTACCGAATATGACAAAATGTGCTAACAGTTTTACAATCTAATGACTTCATGCAGAAGATGAGGAGGGAAAAAATAATTAAAGGAATCTTTATAAGACATTGCATTAAGTGAATTCTTCTATCAAGTAATTTTTAGAATATTTTCATGGTATAAAGTAGGTATTTAACAACTAAATCAGGAGGTGACAAAATAAGTAATAAAAATCTGCTAAAACCAACAAAAATTAAATTCCATTGAAAAGAGTGTACAAAATTTAACATTTTCTCAAAGAACTATGTGGAATAAAAATATGCAAAAGCATATTAACGTGTGAGTTATAGTTATAAACACACAAAGTCGATTTGCTGATCTAAACAAAAAAATATGTGCCCCTGCCCATAAGTGGAAATTTTGTATTCTTTTAATATAAAAGGAATTTTTTTTTTTGGCTAAGGATTCGGAATGAAGCATTTTTTACCATAATAATAAAACTAGAATAAATTTTAGCAACTGGAGTATAGGTGAATTTAATTCGACAGAATTAGAGAGACTAATTAACAATAATTAACAAAAAATCATCTCAAGAAATTCAATATAATAAGCTAATTAACAGACAAAAATATGATAAACCAAAATAATTACTTAATGTAATAATAATTTTGAAAAAAATGAATTAGGCTAGACAAACTATAGAAAACAACTAACCTGCATGGTGCAAGGATAAGCCAGACAAGTCTGAAAAACCAGAACGTGGCATTAGACTTTCATATCGGCACTGTTTGCAATAATCAATAGCAATATTCATAATTTAACTCTTAGGGCACTTTTATTGCTTATGCTATTGCTTTAATTTAAAACAAAACAAAAAAACACTAAAATATTTGTAAAACACAGAAATAAAAGTTGCATAATTGTTATTGTTGAAAGTATTCTTCAGTTAACAAATTTTTTAAAATGCCTTAGGAGGGTTTTGAAAATGTAGCTGAGAATGGTTAAAAGAGTAGATGCGTAGGATTTTAAAAAGTATAGGGGTTAAAAGAAGAGATGGCAGGCATGGTCTCACCTATTCCAGGTGAGACGACCCTCTCGTAATGGTACGGGTTGATACAAACACTGTCCTGTTTCAGGTCAAATGCAAACTGGCAAAACTTCACATGCTTTAGTTCATTCTTGTGAAGGTCTGGCCAACGCCAGATCCTGGCATATATGACATGAGGGAAACCTTTGCGGCCAGCAACCTGAAATACAAGACACCATGTAAACCACAGCCTAGCTAACTAGCTAGGTAATTTAAAACATAATTTATCATATTCAACTACAGTCAGCAATTAAGATATGAACATGTAGAAAACAGGTGTGGTCCATTGCTAGCACAAAAGACTTCGGAGACCAGGCTCAGGCTTGAGTCCGCAGTACTTCCGTGAGTCCACCCAGCAAATGTGCATAGTGCTGACCACACTAGTGAGTCCACCCAGCAAATGTGCATAGTGCTGACCACACTATCTCTTCATATGCCGAGGTCACAGAAACAAGTGAACTCTACTTCACTTGCCCCATAGACTGTGAGGTTTGAAAGGGAAACTTAACTTAACCCAGCAATGAGTCTCGTTAGATAAAGTACAGACAATTGGCATAGAGCTGACCACATTATTCCTTCATTTGCTGAGGTCACAGAAACAGGTGAGCCCTACTTCACCTGCCCCATGAATCATCAGGTTAAAAAGGGTACTACACTTATTTTTTAAAGAGGTCAGGTTTCTATTTACATACCGCGTTTCTTTACCCATTGCAATATGCTACTTCTAATAACCAAAATGATTAAAGGCCTCAATTTACCAAATCCAATTCAAAGTTTTACATATGGTATAATTAATATTGTATTTTTTTCTCCACTAGAGCTAACTCACAGCAAGATTATGGAAGAACGCAGTATTTATTTTTCTTTAACAGTAATTTCTTTAACTCCTAGTGTTTTTGATGAACGCTTATTTTGCTTACAGATGTGGGATGATACTAAGAAACAAAAACAACAGGCAAACAAAATAACTAAAATATAAAGAAACCTGCAATCTGCCATCTAGTGTTCTCTGTATAGTAACACATTTAGACGGATGGGCACCATTGGTTGTTATTGCAGTAATCAGACTGTCTAGTTCATCCCTTTTTTCTTTCAACTTTTTCACCAAACTCTCAATGGCTCTTTTAGCAAAACTTTCACTTTCCCCACCCTGTCAAAATAGTTAAAACAGTGAAAAAAATATTAATTTAAACTTGTGAGGAAAAACAAGTTCAAATTGTTTCATATTCAAATTTAATGAGAACAAAAAAACCATGGAAGAGTAGTTTAAAATTTAAAAATTCACTTGTTAAAATATGGGTTTAATTTTGAAAACAAAATATAGACCTAGGTCTATTTATTTAATATTCCTAGTTATATAAGCCTAATCAAAATTTACCTGGCGATGGCACATCAGGCTGTGCACAATGCTAAGACAAGCATCTGCTGATGTGGGAGCCTGAGTTGCCATGTTGGCATCTACTTCAAAACTGTGATGTCAGGGTAGTTTTTCCTCAGCTTCGGACAATCACATTAGTTATAACTCTTCACCGACACTGAAATTTTTTTTAAAAGATCAAATAATAAAAAAAAACAGTAAAAGAACGTCCCTACTTACAATGATGTGCTATATGTTGGATATTGATTTAGCTACGCCTTAGGCCTATACTTTATACATACTATCATAAGGGAGTCAAGCAGCAAGTTAAATTATATAGGCATATCATTAATCCTAAGGAAATCATATAAAATGTTAGACATAGGCCTAGGCCTATACATATGCCTAATTTAGAATTAACATTGTTAGGCCTATGTATGCCTATAAAACTAAGGCTTTGAAAAGTCTAGTAGTCATAGTATTCTGGTTTTTATTATCAGCGCTGTTTAAGAGTTAGGCCCATATTTGATTTTAAATTCATTTTAACACAAGAATAGAGAGCTACTTTCACTAAAGAAAGTGTCTAAAGACTAGAATATTATCTAGAATCTAGTCTAATCTGGAGTTTAGAAATACACAGCTCTAGACTCTAGTTCTAGAATTCAAGTTAGGGCCTACCTAGTATTTAGTGCTATAATCTAGAAAGAAGTCTAGATCTACATTTTAGGTAGATCTAGACTAGATCTGGACATTAAGTCACTAAGATGACTATTGAATAATATAAAGTAAATTGAATTGTCTAGTCTTGACCAATCTTCAATCTAGATTTCTAGAAATGCAAATCTAACTAATCTAGATTAGCTAGGGTTAGTCTAGAATCTAGACTTTATTTTATACTAACTTTCTCTAAATCTAGATTAATTAGAATTAGTTTAGAGTTTAGATTCTAGATAAGTTTTTTTTCAAAGTTGTCCTTAGTAAAGAAGCTTAAGTTAGTGACGTTAGGACGTACGCCTAGCCTCCTAGACAGAGACTCTCAGCACTCAGCTCAGTCGTCACTCTTTCATTCTTTTAGAGTTAGAGCCCGCCTATCAATACTTATACAGAAGAGATAAATCATACAACAAACTCTAAAGGAAATGTAACAGTTAAACTGTTAAGTGTAAAACTGTTTACCATCTAGAACTGTATATTATAGTAACTGTACTAGATTCAATAATCTGAGTCGTGTTCGATTTATACATGGCTAGACATTGCGACGCCAGTGTCACTCAGGGAACTTTCGATATGCCAGAGTTGCCATTTGAAAATTTACAAAAGCTTGCTTAAGTTAAAATTGAAAACAAATTATTTAAAGAGTTATTAATAACAAAACAGTGACTTTGTTATCCTGAATAAAATCGTAAATTGTTAATTTTTAAACTTTCATATTAATTTTTCTCAAAAGTAACAAAATTGACTTTAAAATTGTGCCAAAACCATGTTTATTTTTCGCAGTGGGCCCACATCTTAACCAAAATAAACTGCGCACAGAATGTGCGCAAAAGAAATTTTCCGTTTCCGATATTAAAGGTCGTTGTACGATAAAATTGTGTACCTAAACAGTGGAAAATATAATAGTAACTAGGTCTATGAAAATTAAAGAACTAACTAGGCCTACGCTGCTAGGCACACAATGTAGACATCTTAAAAGTAGATCTAGGCTAGTTGTTTTGAGAACAGAACAAAATTAATACAAAAGTAAAACCAAACCAAAAATGTAAAAAAAAAAAAAAAAAACGACACAAATTATAAAAACAAACGACAAAAAAAAATCGAACATGAGCCTAAACACACGTATAAAACTCTCATTTTTACGTTCTCGCGTTTACTGTTTACAGAATAGACCTAGACTTCTATAGAGGAAGTTTTGTAATCGTTGAGAATAGTTTAATGATATTTTCACGTTTTTTGCCGTTGTAACCTCCTGCCTCAAATGTATACGAAATATATTGTAAGCGTGCACAAATCTAAATCGAGACTGACACATTTTGACCCATCACAACATCAGAGCCAGAAAAAATGAGTTTATTCCAGGCACCTCCACCCCCGAATAAAGTCTACCGCCCCCCCCCACCCCCGGAGAAAAAAGCCTGAAGGAAACACGGTTTAACAAGATAACTTGAGTACCGTTTAGTAAGGTTGGCGAATTTTCAGATAAAAGTATTATATCGAATCAGTGGCGTAGCGACCCTTCCCGGCGCCCGGGGACAAACTTTTCGATTTGCACCCCCCCCCCCCTCGAGATTTCCATTTGCACCCCCCCCTCAAACTTTCGATTTGCACCCCCCCCCCCCCCTCGAGATTTCCATTTGCACCCCCCCCCCCTCAAACTTTCGATTTGCACCCCCCCCTCGAGATTTCCATTTGATCCCCCCCCCCCTCTCAAACTTTCGATTTCCAACCCCCTCAAACTTTCAATTTCTTTTTCCAACCCATTTTGGTGCCCCCTAAGGTCGGCGCCCGGGGACATATGTCGTCCCCCCGCCCCCCCCCCCCCCTCGCTACGCTACTGTATCGAATTTCTAGTTTTCTTCCAATTTTTGAGCGATTTCCGGGAACCGGTAGTGGTAGCTACTCTTCTTCCAGTTTCTCAAAAGCCAATAACTTTGACTTAAGTACCGTTTAAGTTAGGTGGGCATTTCACATATAAGTATTATATTGTATAAGCAGGTTTTAATCTACCTTATTTCCACGTAAGCACGATAACTTGAGTAATGTTTCACTTAGATAGAAGAGATTTCATATATACTGGCATTACTTTTAATTTTTGAAGTGGTACTTTAACTGATTCTGGTTTCTAAAAAACGTCTATTTCAGTCCCGTTTCAGTTAGGTAGACGACATATCATAGATGTACTAGAACTTATACTCTAGATTCTTGTAAATTTAAATTGATTTCCGGTCACCGGAATTAGTACTTCATGCTATTACCAATTTCCCAAAAAATCTTTAAAATTTGATAATATTTATATCACTTTTGGTGTGCAATTATTTTTCTTCGCGATTCTATTTTATTTAAAGTGTGCACAATATAGCGGAAAATGAATTCCGATTTTTCAGAATTTCAGAATCTTATTTTACACTGAAACTGAAACGTCCATATTTTCATTTTAATTGGGCAATGTATACTTTCCCCAAAACCGGTGCAACGCGGGTATAAGCTGCTAGTATGTATTGCCTACATAAGATGAACTCTAATCACATACTTCAAAACACTTGCACACCAAATGCAACCAACGAATGTGCGAATAAAGGCCACGTTTGTAATTCTCAAACGGAAGCCGTCATTGAAATGTGCGTAGTGTTTATTTTATGAATAATATCACTATCGACTAAATTAGATCTGTATGTGTTATTTGTTTTTCATCTATTTCGTTTAAGTCTTTACAGGTATTTAGAAAAGGAATATGAGATTAAATTTGGCCTCTATGCCTACAACAGTAGATTTATGTTCACCATATGAAAATGGACATTGTGTATGTCTCACTTAGTTTACTTTAAAGTTGATTGTGATCAAAATTATTATGGACAACAAAGAGAATAGTCTCAAAAGGCCCTTTTAAAAAAAATTAAAATCGTGTGAGGTTTATTTAAAATAAATGTAGGTTTTTTTTTGTCCAACCGTGCTACAGATTGGATGTGTTTGATGTGTTCAGTATCTTCGGTAACTAAACAAACTCGTTAAAAAGCCACAAAACTATTTGATGTTTTGGAAATTTGGTTTTACGTACATGACAAACGGTGCTACTATTTTGCTGTTAGAAATTAGATATTTTTTTTTATATTTCACCTGGAAGGAGTGAAGGAGTATGTGTTGGACTTGCCCCAGGGGATTGGGTGGGGGGGGGGCTCACCTTTCCAGAGAGATGAATGAAAGAAACTATGGACAGTTGATCAAGCACCCAAGCCACTCCATGATCTGTCTTTAGGCCGAACTCAAACGCAGCTGACTCTAATAAAGAAATATCCATTATCCTGACCACACGAGATTCATCATCATCATCGTCGTCGTCCTCGTCGTCATCACCATCATCACCATCATCATCATCACATCATCATCATCGTCATCATCATCATCATCGTCGTCGTCACCAACATCATCATCGTCATCACCATCATTATGATGATGATGATGATGATAAAGATGAACATCATCATCATCTTCGTCATCGTCATCGTCGTCATTATTATCATCATTATTATCTATCTTCATCGTCATTATCATCTTCATCATCAAAAACAATAACATCATCATCATCATCATCATCATCATAATCATCATTATCATTCCCGTGGGCCCCTTGTGGAACATATGGGTCTAACAATATCTCTTCATCGTATTTGGGTTTGGGCGTTTCCCCAATGTTAGGCCAATGACAGTTTACCTGTCACAAATGAGTTCTTTATTTATTTTTTTTATTTTTTTTTGGGGGGGGGGTGGTAGGGTGTGGTGCTGTGTCTCACAATACACGAGGTAAATTTATTTTAAATTGACGATAATGGTATTTCAATTTGTATTAGAATGCTACGATTTCGACTTTGTACACACACATACAATGAGGTGTGAATACTTTAGTAATGAGTGTAATATTGCTGAGAGGCGAATGAGTCGTAATGTTGTGTAGTCAAACTAAACACATATCTTTTTAAAATACTTAAGTATTTAAGTAAAATGTGTATGTTAAATGAAATTAAGCGTTCGCGAAATGTTCAACTAATTTAAAATCTTTACTAATAACAGTATATTTTTTTGTATTCATTTTAGGATACTTAGACCTGGCACTAACAATAACCCATATTTTCGACCGTAAGGAAGCAAGTCAGCTCAGGATGTATAGGAAAATCTTTCTGTTTGTGTGCTTTTTCTGGATGACTAAAACAGGTAACTACACGGGCGTGGCCTAGCGGTAGAGCGCTAGACAGCTAAATCAATAATCTCGAGTTCGAACCCGGGTTCTAGTCAGCTCTAATGGCTCACCTAACTCACGTTAGGGAAAGTTAAGGTGGCGGGGGTTACCCCTTCATAATATGCCGAGGTCACAGAAACAGGTGAACTCTACTTCACTTGCCCCGTGGACCGTCAGGTTCGAAACGGGAACTTTACAAATTTACTTACTTTTACACCCACTAACTTGAAATTTGTTGCGTTATTTGACATAATAATCTGACAACGTATAGCTGTCGATGAATGTAGGAGGTATGTTATATTAGGCTGGCATTTTTACTTATTTCTCAAATGCTGTAAAATATTCAAGTTTGGTTGTAAAAATATGTTTTCTGGCAACAAAAATTTGGAACCAGCTTTCCAAGCCTATTGCCATTATAATAATCTGAACAACGCATAGCTGTCAATGAATGTAGGAGGTATGTTATATTAGGCTGGCATTTTTACTTATTTCTCAAATGTAAAATATTCAAGTTTGGTTGCAAAAATATGTTTTCTGGCAATACAAATTTGGTACCAGCTTTCCAAGCCTATTGCCATTATAATAATCTAAACAATGTATAGCTGTCAATGAATGTAGGAGGTGTGTTATATTAGGCTGGCATTCTTACTTATTTCTCAAATGCTGTAAAATATTCAAGTTTAGTTGCAAAAATATTTTTTTTTTTCTGGCAACAAAAATTTGGAACCAGCTTTACAAGCCTATAGACATAATAATCTGAACAACGTATAGCTGTCGATGATAGTAGAGGTATGTTATACTAGGCTGGCATTTTTTACTTGTTTCTCAAGTGTTGTAAAATATTCAAGTTTGGTTGCAAAAATATTTTTTTCTGGCAACAAAAATTTGGAACCAGCTTTACAAGCCTATTGACATAATAATCTGAAAACTTATAGCTGTCGTTGAACGGGGGGGGGGGGGGTAATTATATAAGCCTTGCATTTGCTTCTATTGTCTCTGCCCAGGTGATGCAGCAGATGCAGGCAACATGCCCTTCCGTGTGTACTTGTGGGGAGCTAATCCTTTTAAAAGATCATTCAGGTACAACATAACTTTCCTCACCACGTACGATGATATGGATGCGGAGGTGAGTTTCTGAAGAATGTGTATTTACAATGTAAAAGTAAAGTTCCCTTGCAAAACTTGACGGTGTATATGGCAAGTGAAGTAGAGTTCACCTGTTTCTGTGACCTCCGTCGTATGAAGAGATAGTGTGGTCAGCACTATGCTCCGCCGCCTTTACCTTCCCTAATGTGAGTTAGGTACCCATCAGAGTTGGGTGGACTTAGGAACCCGGATTCGAACCCGACACTTGCGGGTTAGCAGTCGAGCTCTCTACCGATAGACCACTCCTTCCTCTGTATTTACAATGTAGTCTTTTAATTAAGGGCAGTGGCTTGTTGAAGTTGTAAAGATTCAATGAAATATGGGCTTTTATGAAGAATACACCTAAAAGTAAAAAGTAAACAATGCTCCTAAGATTTAGTGATCCATCGATGAAGTAGAGTTCATAATTTTCTTGACCTCGGATGTTGTGGTCAGCAC